TAGTCGCATTTAAATACAGAATGCAAATAGTGCTTTTTTGCTAACTTATCTTTCGCTTATTGTCTTTTTTGCAATGCCCCTTGTTCTATTTGCGGTTATCCGACGGAATGACTAAAAACCTTATTACATAATTAATTTACCAAAGAATTCCGCTAATTTATGCTAGTGTATGTATTCTATTTTATATATATTGGGCTCGGCCTTTGTTGTAATGCTGGAGGAACTTCATATTTTACACATCACGTTTGACCAGTTTTAGCCTTTTTATTCTTCATTCATTTTAATGGTCAGTCTATAGATTATCATATATTTATCAGACTTCTATACGCACATGATTTAGATTTTGTGGATGACTGTAGTCCTGAACTGCAAATAGTGAGTTATCTTGAATTCCTTTAATTTTACTCCTATTATATATCCAGGCTCGTGGTGCCGTGCCAAATCACGACTAACTTATATCCATATTTACTTTATGGAGGTCTATGAGGGAGGGATTCATTATAATTTATGGCTCATTTAGGTTTTACCGAAATTTCCATTGATCCTACACGATTAGGTTTCTTTTATTGCGTGTAAATGCCACCATATTTTGGTTAATATTGGCTTACTTTTTTTTTTTATCTCCGCATGTCTTCAGACGAAAAAGGCGCAACTTTAGCAAAGAGGCTACAGAAGTTCTCAACGAATATTTCTACTCACATTTGGCAAACCCATATCCATCAGAGGAGGCTAAAGAAGAGCTGGCTAAAAAATGTGGAATCACAGTCTCTCAAGTAAACTTGCTTTCCTTAACTTATATTACAAGTAAATTAAAAAAATTTAATGTCATTTTTCATTATTATTTGTTACTCTGTACTATATATCCTACATTTGCCTCTCCAGGTTTCTAACTGGTTTGGGAATAAACGAATTCGTTACAAGAAGAACATCGTAAAGGCTCAAGAAGAGGCTAATATGTATGCAGCAGCGACCGCAGCGGCCGCCGCCGCTGCCAGTTCCGGTGGTTTGCCACCTTCCGGCGGAGCACCAACGGGCGATGAGGTAACATTCAATCTAAAGAGTATTCCATTCGACTTAATTAAGGAGATGGCTTCTATTATTTTCAATACTTTTTATACTTCATTAATTTTGGGCTCAACTGTAGTTTCAGACATTTAGGATTATCTATTGTAATATGCATGTATAAATGTGCGATTTCATACTGAACTACTAGGCTTGGCTGTGAACGGATCACATTTTATGTGGGGAGCCTTAGTTTATATTTGCGGCATCCCAAAATGGTAGCCCTCCCTTATTACTACTCGATTATTAGGGTTTGCCACTGTTGTTTCTAAGTTGAATATACAGACTCGCTAAAGGCTATAATTAGGGTCTCTAATCAAGTCAGATAATAAAATTAGTTAAAACCGAAAGGGAATCCAATCTTTTTTGTTTTCCCTTTTAGCACATCATTTGGCATAAGCATAATCTTATAAGTTGTCCCAATTGTATCTCCAACAACAATTAGTTCTGTATATTTG